TCTGGCTGCTCCCCTTTGGCCTTCCTGGCATGGTTGCACCTTGTGGAACGAAGTTCCAGCCAGTGTAGCCCGCGGAATCGCTGCAGCACTCAAGCCCGACCACCACGTCAAGGTGGCAGCTTTAGGTCGGGTGCCTACACTGGACTGGAAATGAACCCTACCCCAGAAAAAGCAAAGAATAGGTCCGAAACTGGCATAGACTCTTGCTTGCATCCACTTTGGATCAGCCTAGGTGTCAAGGTGGCAGCTTTAGGTCGGGTGCCTAAGAACCACTGGAAATGAACCCTACCCCAGAAAAAGCAAAGAATAGGTCCGAAACTGGCATAGACTCTTGCTTGCATCCACTTTGGATGGGAACAGCCTAGGTATAATCCACAGTTTTGTCTAAATCGGAGAGGGCTGTAAAGCCGCCGGTGGTACTGGAAAAGGAATCACACGGGAAATCGCTTAAGCCAGAAATAAAGCCGTAACCAAACTCACCCCAGTCCCAGCTATTCTAGAGGCGCGACCTCGAGAAAACAACTCATTCCTGACCTGTAAGTATAAAAACATGAAGTAAGGTCGATCGTGAATATTAAATTGATGAACGTATCAAACAAGCAATGCAACAAATAGACACGCAGTAAGAGCCGATGGTCGTGTATAAAAGACGGTGCTCCGGTGGTTTCCAGTGCGGGAAGTGAAATACACGGTTCGTTAATGCATGGTTCCGGATGCAATATATCTGGACCCGCACTACAGTATTAGTCTTCAGTGGATGACAACACGTATTCCATTTGTGACATGGGTGAGATCCCATCATTATTTCCCAGAAATTGGATATGGACCATGTTGACATAGCGAAAGGGTCATCAGGGCGCCAATATCCCAGAGCAATACCACTACCACGAGAACACACTTTTGTGAGTTGCACACGTGTTGTTTCACGCAAAAGATATAGCAATTTGTACACAACTGCCACGGAACCTGCAAGAAGCGCGAGTGCTAGGTCACCCAAAATGAAGGAGGCACTTAGCCTAGCTATCGGACGCTTATCGTTCAGCCGAAATATCCCGTCACCATTAACACCAAAAATGGGCTAGAATCGAGTTATAACAAGAAAAAAGCATCCCTTATTGGAAAGGCATCTATCATCACCGTTCGTGACAGCAACATCAGATGAGAACACTTGCTTCACTACCGTATGTATGTCAGCTTAGTTGAATAAAGCCTCATAACGGAGGGGATCCGGGGATAGCCCATCACAAATATTCGAGATGCCTACACCTCCAACACTCATTCAGACAATATAGATAGAAACTGGCACCATGAACACCACTGAAACCGGTTAGCCACCTTTTCGTACGGAAAAGGTAATACCCTTTCGGTGCCCAGCTGCCATGCCACCTGAAACCACGAGGGTTGCTTAGACAGGGGAAATCGAGAGGCAGAATTCGGGTTCAAATCACGGACCTTCCGGTCAGTAAATTCGCGCTCTAACCACTTGAGCCATCTCGCTCCCCATTTCGTACGGTGTCTCCAGCCAAGCACAGGTAGGGTCACGTGAACCCCATCTTGGGAGGCGAACACTAACATGAGCACCTTAACTTTCGTGACGTCCTTCAATATGAAAAGGCATGCGATACGGTTAAATGTATGTAGACCGACCGTAATTACTAGCTTTCGACGGGAGCAATGTGATGTCGTTACCAAAAGATTCATGCTGCATAAGTTGGAATACCATTCCATAATGCTACCACCCCGTCAGTTTCTCGACAGGGTAAAAAGTATCTTAAAGGTCTCAAAAACCCCTTTTCCCAACCACCTCGCTATAACTCATGAATCTGCAGTTTACAAAGCTATCGAATTTGGCACCCCTGCATGGTATTGCGCACTGTATGTTTCGGAATTTAACAGTTCCGGCTGATATCTCATCAGTCTTACTTGGGACTTCCATCCATTTTCCCTTCCTTAATCCGTCGCCATTGGTATCTCAATAGGCCCATTCCCAAGGATGAACAGGTGCATTCCCCACCTACTGTTGTTACCTAGAAATAACGATCCCGTTGTACACCACAAGGAGTCTGGATACAGTCGTAATGGCTAGACTTCAACAGACAAATGAAGCGCCTTAGTTCATTACAGACAAGTCTTGGCGGCGAATCTAGTTTAGATGCGGAACGCAGTGGGCCTTTTTTGCATGTGTCAACAAGCTATTTCCCATTCGAAATGGGTTTAGAGGCAGTGGGTGGCAATGCTGAGTCACATCGATGTGTGTTACAGATGGTGAGGTTCAGTTCTCGACCGTCAATCTCTCCAAGACACATGTCTTGTCGTGGTGATCGGGGTTCAGGACTTCAATGATCCTGCAGCCTACGTTAGCTAAGTTTTCCAGGTAAGGCCTACGAGCAGTAGCTAGATGAAGTACAGTAAATCCCTGGCGAATTATCCAATATGGTGAAAAACAAACAAGCCTTGCCATGAGATCGATGCGGCTCCAGACGAATCTGCTGTGCGCAGCAGCATCAAGAGTCAGGTATCTATGTCTTTGCCAATGGCAAATCATCCCCTGAATTTAAGTCAGTAAGACCATCGAGTAATTGACTCCTGGAAGAATCCCTTAAGAATACTTCACATCATCCCACTACCTTGGTAGTATAGTGTTCAGCTGCAACACCCCTTCGGTGTCTAGCTGCCATGCCACACGAAGGAAGCCTACAGTTATCGAGATGCAGAGGTCGGGTTCGGACCACGGACCTTCCGTTCAGTAAACTCACGATCTAACCACTTGGGCCACCTCGCCCTCATTCCACTACTTTGTGGGTCAAACTTTTGAGTTAAAGGATCAAGGTGAGTGCCTCAACCAAGCCTCTTCTACCCGGGCAACTGGCCTAAACGTCGCTTCGTACCCAAACGTCTTCCCCATAAAATAGATCACATAGAACTTCATCAAATTCAAGAGACTTGTTCCAAATTGCTGTTTCCAAAGCCCATACTGTACCAAAATAGGTAACAAATGGCTTCTGCTTCGGTAGGCGAGAAGTACAGATTTCATTATCCTGGCAGGTGATATGAGTGATCATGTCGGCCAACTAAGTCCTGATGAGATTCACCTTGGCGGTCGATTCGGGTTTGACGATGACCGCACAGATAATGGGGAACAACCTCTCCAGCTATGTACTGCGTTTTCTAACCAGTATACACTTTCGGGAAGCGTTCACGTGTTATCTGAAATCTACCAGATTCAAACCAGCTTCAAACTCGGCTGGACCATGTGGCAACTAGCTACCCGTGGAAGTCTTTGGTATTAGACTGCCGTTCATCTTGGATTGTACCAGCCTCTTACCACTGCGTTGTGCGGTGCGGGTACGTGCAAACATTCGCCCCCCCCCCCTGGAATACGCTCGTTGATGAAAAGTCATTCAGGTCACACCTGCAAACTGTTTTTGTAGCCCAAAAATATGGAATAAAATTGGTTAAAAAGCTTCTACAACTTAAAGGGTATAGTGGTGAGCTGGATAGTCGTAGCTTTTGAAAACGATCTGTCCGAGGTCGCTGGCACATTTCGTTGGACACCGGATATCGTCACGATCAGCAGCTATCACCGATGCCGGTGAAACTATACCAGCAAAAAACGACCATGGTGGCAACAAAGACGACAACGCGAGTGTCGCGTTGTATCATCGGCCAGGTTGTCCTACTTGCTGCACACTACCGAGCGCACAAGCGAGAACAGGCTATTTCTAAAGCCCCCCTGTTTTCTCTTTCACACACTTTCCCGCTCTCAATCAACCCATTCCCTTGTGGACTCATCCATTGTCTTGCACAAGCCTTGGCCTCAACCTCTGCGCGTTAGCAACCTCACGCAGCTTCAAACCAATTTTCAAGCCTCGACACAAAGTGTTTTTGGCCGCCTTAATGTACACACCCTGAAGCAAGGAGGATAAGTTCATTTCACTCTCACATCGACCCAGCATTGCTGCGTATTAGGAATAAGAATTCAAGATTCAAGCACGGTCGTCGAGACAACTGTTCCAGCACTCTCCACAAGCTTCCGGCCGCGCACCTCTGGCGATCCAGAGACCGCTGCGGCGGGATGCACAGAGGTCGGTATCATTCCAAGGCAATGGGTAGAAGGGCCTTTGACTGGATACCGGTTGATGATCGTCTGTGCGGTTCGGCTAGCAAAGTCTGCGAAGGAATCTCACAAACGGAAAATGGATCGTTTTTTGGTTGTCGAGTTTAACATGCTGCAACGGACTGTATCACTGGTACCATCAGGGATAACTTGTGTGACGACTTAAGTGGCCTGTTAGGGTGGACTAAACTTTGGATATCGATCGCTGCATTTGCAAGAGATTTGAATGACCAAGTAAGCATATTCAGCGCATCCGAGACTAAACTGGATGATCAACTTAGACCAGACTCGCACGTGTAGATAACGACAAACGACTGATTTGGCTGTGCCGGTCACACGGTGTCCTCAAATCAATTTCCTAGTCGATTTCTTAATCGACGAGAGAATGAGGTCAGGTCTGGGAAAACCTGTTGTTCAAATAGTTGTTCACAAAAGCCCTATCGTTCTGGGACACACAGACGACATTGCCTTCGAAGAGAAGGCACAGATGTTTTTAAACGAACAGAGCAATGTCCTTTGGCATGAATATCACCACAACACTTCGATTTTTTTTTATTTTTGTGACCTCATATGAGGAGTTCACTGAATGAAAAGGTCACCTTATGTTAGTTTGTGTGCACTGCAATAGTTTTTAAGTATTTGTATCGGTTACACTCTGTATTTGCCAAAGATGCAGCGATTTTGTTGTTCAATATCCACGGACTCACAAGGTTTCTGCATCCACGCGCTGCAAGTTTTGTCGACATAACAGTGGTACCTAAAGCGCCATCTAGCGACTACGTATAACTACACAGTCGCAAATGAGGTATTTATCGTGCAGGTCAAATTTCTATGGGACGAATCCACGAGAGACTGTTTACGAGGTTGTGGTAATAGCATGGTATTAGCATGCGCTTTGCGTCCGAAAATTCAATCACTTAATATGCTATTTACCATCCAAACGCTCAAAATTGAGGTGCGTTTTACGTAACTTGAGAGTTGTACCGCTCATGTGTAGCACCCTCTCGGTGCTTCACTGAGAAGTGGTCTTCCAAATAGGAGGAAACGAACAGCCCACACCCACCGATCATCTCGTAATCACTCTGACACATTTGGAGCGAAGCAAAGCCCAGTAAATACAACCAAAACAGTCTGATTTGTTTTACACTGAAACTCTAAGAGACAGCCTGTCATTGGAAATCCCACAATGGGCCTTTGGAATATCAATATTCCATAGGCGCAACCACAAGAACCAGGAACCGAAAGCTTACCGTCTTCGTCGGTATAACCAGGGGAAGCCGACGCTGAGGCGCTCTGACAATGGGTCTAAGCCTTCGTTGCAAAAGCCTTCGAGCATCACGAATGATGCGCTTGGGTCTAACCGTGGTTTGAACTCTTTTACGCAAAACGGATCGAGCATCTCCTGGTCTGGAGCCTTTAGTCAGTTTTTGTCTCAAATCAGCTTGCCCGACTCGTCGGACCGGAAGGTTTCTGCCCAGCCTTGACCTAATAAAAAGGCATAACAGAGAATGAAACAACCTACTTTACAGGTTTTGTGTTGAGGCGCTTCTCAAACGTAGCGTTCATGTTTGAAAAGTGCCGGCAACAGACGATCAGTTTCCAGTTCACCCATTCTCAGTAGACGGGTTTCGGAGGGATCAAGTAAACCAAAGTGCGGAGTGAAAAGATAGGCCGGCGGCTAGACGCACAATGTATTTTTCTGCAAAACGCCTGCGGACGAAATAAAAACTTTAACGTCAAAATGTTGCACTTCTTTGCATATATGCGTAGAGTGAAAACCCCCCTCATCTGCCGTTATTTTTTTGCGATTTGTTTTAATCGAGACATTTGAAAATTATTGGCGCACATTCGGTATTGGCGCACATTCGGCTTTGAACTTCGTCTGCTATGGCTTCGGAAGTGGCTTTCGTTGAGAAATTTGTGGGTGTATCGTTTTCATCCTTCACGGCATTTGAGAAGACCTTAAATCAATACATGAAGGATAACTTTGTGATATTTGTGCGTTCATCCAGTA